GATAGAGGAGGCAGATAAAAGAGGAGAGACTGAAAACACAGAAAGAACAAAAAGAAAGTGAGAGCAATCAGTATAGAAGACCATCTGTTTAGAGAGTATATTTATCCACCATACATTTCCTCATGGAAAAAATAAGCAAAGAAAAAGAAAGACCCCCTCCTCTGGGATGGAGGGTGAAGAAGAAGAAGAGGGGGGTGTTCTTCCATTCACCAGCTCCACGTGGCTAATTAGCATATGTGAAGGTCAGGGTGGCGGGGTTTGGGACGCCCACCACCACCGCCACACCTGGCATCGTGCCCGACACAATGCACACACAAAGAAACCCCACATATTTGTGTGTGTGTGTGTGTGTGCCAACAACTCATAAATACTTCTTTTTTTTTTCCCTCACGTCGTTGAAGTGGGGTGAGATCCAGAGGGAGAGGATTTTAACTGTGCTGACATTTGCGAGAGTTCACATACTGATTCCCTCTCTCTCTCTCTGTACACTCGGCCAGGCCCATTCCTCAGAAGTCAGCAGGCCTCCATGTGACTCACTTCAAATATCGCCCACATTTCTGCATCTCCTGCCTGCCTATGCTTCCCTCCGTGGAAACCGAGAGGGACGGCAGCTACGTCCTCACGCGTTAATGCAACCTGCTGTGACCAAAAAAAATAAAGAAATCAATAGTAAAAAAACTATCAACATGTCAAAGGGCTTCACTTCCGCAACTTTGCCGATAAAAAGTTTCCGAATCTTTCCCCCTCGTCCGGCTGCTCAAGCAGAGAGGTAGCATCTAACGAAGACCAGACTTGTGATAAATCTGTTCTCCATAAAGCTTGAAAAATGATACTGAAATGATGATCAAATCAAGCCCCCAAAAAGACCTTGGACTATTTCATCCACATTGGAGAAGTCAAATTCTCCCATATGAACAATTAACTTTCTTCCCCAAAAACTGCTTTGGTTTTTATTTTTCCTGCCCTCCCCTGACACAGGCAGTTCGGATAAGACAGCGCTGAGAAACAGCTGACACAAAATCAACACCCGCTCGCAGCAATTAAATCCTTTCTTCAGGGCATTTACACACCAACCTTTGACTCCAGGGGATGCTGTGAATGCATAGTGAGGCCGGATACACACACACACACACACACACACACAGAGGGAAGAAAAAAACTACAATTATTTTATTAGCCAGCTAATAATACACACGCTTATGACCAGTGATGCAACTGGACAGTTGTTTTTCTTTTTTTTTTTTTTGGAAATTCTTATTATTTTTCAAAATCAGAATTAATTGGTGTTTTGTGGAAACCGCATGCAGACCAGGGATAACCCCGGCCTGCCAATTACCTAAGCAGGCTCCGCGTTTCATCCGAGGAAGATGAAAAACGCTGCGCGAGCCCCTTATCGGACGCAACAGAGCAAATTAAAATTTCACTCTAGTGTTGCTAATCAGCACTGCGCTGGCTGGCCAAGACAGAGATGTAAACAAAACAACATAAACAAACGAGTGACGGGAGGAGGAGGAGGAGGAGGAGGTGGTGGTGGTGGTGGTGGTAGGGGGGGTAGGAAGGAGATGGAGAGAGAGAGAGAGGCACATTGCGAGAGGGGCGGAGCTGTGGCTGGACTGCTTAGTGCTGACGAAAGGGCTTTAGTCTGCTCCTAGCCAGCACACACACTCAAGGACACACACACCACAAAACGAAGCACCCAAACACACACCTGCGTGCCCATTTCCTGACCAGACCCCATGGGCTGTCCGTCTGATGCAGAACATGTACCATAAATTAAATTCCAGCAGCCACAGTCAGGCCCATCACTATGCGCAGGGCTCCCTGAGATAGCCGCATAATACAAAGTGACATTGATGCATTGCTCCCATTATAAAGTCTTTGTTCGTATCACACTAATAATTCATAAGAGAGAAATGTAAACAGTATGCACTGGAGAGCACTGCAACCAGGGATCATTTCAAGGTAAGCACACTACCAAGGATGAGATTGGGTCTGGTCTTTGATATGCAGAGCTGCTGAGCTTTGATTTCAATCCTTAAAAAAAATAATGTAAAAAAAATCGCAAAACAAAGACAAAACACTCAACATAATCGTGATAAATTAGTGGAAACTGTAGATATCCATTGTTTTATTAGGTCAGGTTTTAAAAGAGTCGCTGCTGTAATTATCTAAGCAACAGCACTCTATTTCCATTTTACTAGGCCCCTCATTATTATCTACTAATTACTTTTATTGTTCTGTGTGCGTGTGTGTGTGTGTGTGTGTGTGTGTTGTGATTAGAGGATAACAGACGGATGCTCGCTACATATAAGATGAAAGTGTTGTTTCATTTATGTACCTAAATAAGTCATTAAGGCTGCACATATGCCGTTGCTATAGGTGTACGGCGAGGGAGGAAAAACACAGATTGAGACACAAAAAAAAAATGGCAGCTGACATGTAAACAGGAAGACAAACACTCAGGCGGAAGGTCATAAAACTGAACGGCGCTCGGTTTTTTCCTTCAATCAAACGCGCCGGGGTAATTTGAAAAACTGGGACAATGTCATTTTCATGAGAGAGCAAGTTCGACACGCACCTTTAAATATCTCATGCATCTCTGAAGTAGACACACACACACACACACACACACACAGTGGTGGGGCTCTGTCTTCATTTTGGTTAGTGGCCAGAGTGTAGTGAGTGTGAGGGAGGGGTGGTGGTGGTGGTGGTGTGTATATGTGTGTGTGTGTGTGTGTGTAGGGGGGGGCAGCAGTGTAAATGAGGTGCACTCGTTTCGTTCACAGCTTGCTCCTGAAGAGAGGCAGTGGGGAGGGAAATTGAATTTGAAAGAGGGGAAACTGTGCCAACAGGTGACAGAGGCGTGCTTCGACCAAACGCACTCTGAAGTGAAGCGCAGTCATATCACGGGGCCAATTTGGAGGCAGTATTATGCACTACACCGCTCGCCTTTTTTTTCACACAGCCTGTCAGCGCGCAGGAGAGCAGTGCTGCCGCTCCAAATATGAATTAAACATAGGGCTTTTGTAGCGTGAATATACTGCTGCTGAAATGTTGGTAGAGTCAAGAAAAAACAGAGGAGCACATGCACTTACTCCTCAAGTGGAAAACTGCACTGCAAAAAAAAAAAAAGTGCAGCATAAAATGTTAAACATAGGACTTGTTTAGAGGACTGAGCCGGTGGAATTATCTGCACTAAACACCTGAATATGAACAGTATAGAAGAGAACTGGCTCTTTGATGCACACACACACATATATTTAACATCCAATCTTCTCTCACAATCACTATTAATTAATATACCGAGGAGTTAGATTACTGTGGGTTTCTGGTGACCAACTTATCAACGCATAATTTGCTACAATCAATACAGCAGATCCTCCCACGCTCCAACGTTGCCTTCATTTCCTCGGCATCCAACGCAAATTGCCTTTGATTGAAACAATGTAGGCTAATGAACTGCTTTTGTTTGGCGAGAGGCAGAGATAGCATAAGCCTCGCTCAACCACCTTGCCCTCCAGTCGTCCAGATGTGCCATCCAGCGGTGCGCATAATTTAGCGCATCAACCGCAGAATAGTGGCTGTTGTGCAAGAAACGCTGGCGTGTTTTGGTTCTCAACTGGCAACTGTAGGTCTGTTGGGGGGGAATGATGCAGCACAGGGTTTGGGGGCCACCTAAGGATTCCTGAATGCAGTCCCCCCACCAAACAGAGAGAATAATTAGTAACACTTGCTTCCCTTTCCTTCACTATTACCACTAAAGACCCCTGGAGGAAGGCGGTGAGCCCCAGCTGCAGCAGAGAAAGTCAGCTTCAGGGGTTATTGTGTAAAACCGAGGGTGAAAAAGTGACTCTTTAATTATATTATAAGACAAAACTATTATATTGCATTCATATGAAATGCAAAAAAATCTCAAAATTGTGCTCTAGTAAATGAAATAGTGTAAATAAATGTGTTTCGTCTTTAAGGACAAACATTGCAGCCTTTTGTGAGTTGAAAAAAGAAATCATGAGAATAATTATCAAGAGCATCCTAACCTTCATAAAACTTCAATTATTGTATTGGACGGCCTCCAAGTCTGGAGTATTCCCATAAGACGTGAATGCAGCATCATCCAGCGCCATGGCCAGAAGATCCCTGCAAGAATCCTCCTGTTTTGTTTTTTTCCTTTTTTTTTTTTTTCTTCCTCTCTGAATGCAGTCTGCCCAGCGGGGCCACAGGGAGCCAATCAGATGGCAGACTGGGTGTCAACTGTGAGCCAGGAGTACGCAGAGCTTTAAGCCAGTTTACCTCCACTATTCAAATTCCGAACAGAGCTGCACGGGAATAAACGAGGCGCACAAGAAGCGCTCCGGCTCGACACAGAGCGCGCCGGAGGAGGAGGACATGCGGTCCTTCCGCGGCCGCAGTGTCCGTTTGACATTAAAAATCAGTCTGAAAAACGAGGAGACGGGAGATATTTCAGCTCGTTAGCGTCTGTTTGAAGCGTTTGTGTAACGTTTTCTATATGATTGTGTCACTTTGTTCGTCGAGCGCCTCGAACACCAACACGTCCTCAAAACAGGGCGTTTCTCAACGTGTCTGAAACCACGTCTGCAGAGAGGTGAATCTGACATGACTGTTTGAAAAGCTAAACTGGAAACGAAGCGGCACTGAGCAACACACAGCTTAAATGTGACCTATTAAAAAATGTGGTGGCAGAAGTCTCCAAAGCAGCTTGTTAATTAGTGTGGGCTAATTTTAAAAAGGTTCATCAGTGAAGGTTTTTTTTTTTCTTTTTGGAGATTAATGTGTTTCTCCTTCCTTTTCTCTGACACTGTAAATCAGAATAATCCAGTGGCTTTGCTTCCGCATGAAACCCCCCCTCTGATAAACATGTAACTTTCATCAACCCTCCTCCAGACAAGGTGTTTGTGATCCACACACACACACAACATCTAATTCTGAGTGGCACTGCAGCGCGCACCGGAGCGCCCTGAGTGAAGTTTCCAAAAACTCACCTGCGTCCTGCCGAGGCCTTGCCCTCCGTTGCCCGGATTAACTGTATGCGGATGGTTCCTCTGTTGCCCTCCCCAGTGGGCCGAACCGGCTCCATACTGGGGCCCCACGTCTTTCCCCAGGCCCATGCCGGCTTGCTGCTGCTGCTGCGCCGTGGGGCCGCTGTAGTCTTGATAGGCACCACCATAAGCCCGCATCATGGGGCTGGGGGAGGTCAGCAGCTGGTTGAGGGTCGGGGTGGCCCCTGATGGATGCTGCTGCTGCGGCTGTTGCTGCTGACTTTGTCCCGGGAACCTCTGGAAGCCAGCAGAAGCAGCTCCCAGAGGGGACTTGCCGTGGCTTGCTGAGGAGTTGCTGGCCATCATCATGTTCCCAGGCTGCCGGCATCCAGAGGGGCCCATCATCCCGTAGGCCCCGCCGCCGTAGCCGGCCCGGTACGGTGGGTACTGGTTGTACTGGCTGTTGTGGTACCCTGCTTCGTGGGAGTTCTCCATGCTGTTGTGAGCCGAGGAGTGCGTTATCCCCATCCCACTGCTTTGTTGCTGCTGCCCGCCATGTTGCTCATAACAGGGCCTCGGAGTGTAATAGTTGTTATTAAACTCGGAGTTGTTACTCGGTGGCCCCAAGTTGGAGGAGTGTTCATACCTGGCGCCCATCATCCTCTCCGAGGGTTTACAGGTGAGCTCCCCCTCACCTTTCCCCGGCATGTGCTGCTGCTGTGGCTCCTCCTGGCCCCCCAACAGGTTCTCCTTGCCGCCGTGGTGTTGGTGATCCATACTTCTGTCCCCCCGGGGCACCTGGCCGTTGTTATTGGCGCTGTTGTTACTTTGGATCTGTCGCTGCTGATGTGGCGCAAATTGGCCGAATTGCGGCGGCGGCTGCTGCTGCTGCTGCGGCGGCGGCTGAGACTGAGGGGGATCTCCGCTTCCCACACATTTCAGCTTGTGGTTCGCGATCAAACCCGTTTCCATCGAGGAAGTGGTTGAATTAGTCGACGCCGAGGCAGACGCGAGGTTATTCCCAGCCTTGTCGTGGCCGTCCGGAGCGCTGTGAGTCGTGGAAGTTGAATGGACCATGCTGAGCTCGTTTCGGCGGTGATGGTCTACATTATTCAGAGTCCCATCTCCAGCACCCAGCATCGGTCCACTTCGCTGTACGGTCCCTCCTCCTCCACCTCCTCCGGATTTCCCCGAATTGAGCTCCGGACCCAAACCGCCGGATAATTTCTTATTTTTGTTATTAGTTCTGGTCGGAGCCGATGCCACTTGCGCAGCCATGGTCACTCCAACATTTCAGCGCGCAGTGACAGCAAGCCCCGACCAGCCCTGCGCACAGAAAATAATACAAGAGGGAAAGGAAAAAACACAAGCTGGGAGGTGAAAAATATTTTCAGTGGAAAAGCAAGCTTTGTTCTAGCGCTGGTGTTGCTGTGGTGGTGGTGGAACGGTGCGTCAGTGAGGCTTCATGTTGAAAGTTTCTCTGCCAGGTTTAAACGAAACTTTTTTTTCTTCCCCCCTCCGCCTCTCCTCCATCCCGGTTCTCAGTAATATGTAGCAGCGTCTCCCGGAGCCCTTGTGGCCCAGCATGGCATGAGAGAGAGCGGGCTCTACCAGCTTATCCACCTCCAGGGCTCCGGCGCGCCTCACATGTAAAATCCGGACTGGAGTAGCGAGCCATTACGCACGCTGCATTCTCATATTTCTATGTTTTACTTCGCTTTGTGGGTTGATTTTGCCACTATCGAGATACACTGAGGTGCCAGTGTCATTTTAGATCAAAAAACATTCAAGTAATTTCAATATAATATCGAGATTTCTCCTGTTAGCACCTCAGTCGACCCAAAAATGACGAATTCCTTCAATTTAAAGAGCGTTTTACCCCCAAACCACCGTGACTGCTGTGGAAATTCCAAATTACGCGCGTTGCTTTCTCTTCCACTCCACACTGACCGTTCAAATTAACACACTGGCACATGTTAAGTTTGCCTGAGCGAGTTTCTGCGCCATTATCCAGGTCTGATTTTCCCTCTCCCCACCCTCTCTGTCCCTCGGCTCAAGCCAGTTCTCTGCAGCTCTGACAGCAGTCGGACACGCAACCACAAGCGGTGCGCAATAATGTTGCCATCGGAATAAGAATGTAATCACACTTTATAACTGCTATAATGCTGTAATATCTGTGCCACAGTTTTCATCCCCGACACGCTCCAATCACTTTCTTTTCAGCCCGAAAATGACTAATGTTCCCCTTTAACAAAGGAGCATAGCAATCCTGTAATAAGAGAGGAACCATGGCAATATATAATAACTATTAATCTATAGGACTATTCGGTGTGAAAGCAGATAGGCATTCAGTACGATTAGGTCACTATAAACTGACTGTAAGTCTCCATAGGAATGTAATATGGATGAATATTAAAGCGATTCCTCATTAGAGTCTTATTTGAATGGAGGGCTACATTCTTTAATTTCCTTCATTGGATTTACTTTGTCAGAGACATAACTTGTCTGAAATTATAATGAAATAGAAGAGGGGGGAAAAAAACGAGGGAGAAGAGAAGAATCAACCCCAGGCTGCAGTGTAGGACCACACAAAACCAAAGTCTACAAGATATGCCATCCCATCAATGGTATTCAAACATGAATGTAAAATAGTGCTTAGTAAAGAAGCCAGGGTGTCTGTTGGGACTTGAATGAGCAGAGGGTCTGCTTTGATGAGATCAGATGCATTTGATCAACAGAGGGAGCTGCGGATGAAAGAGGGGTGGAGGGGAGGATGGTGGAGGGGAGAGAGAGAGAGAGAGTGAGAGGAGAGGGGGGGTTAGGAAGAGAAGGATTTGTGGATGAGAGTTGTGCTGAGGATGGACCATGATAACGATGATGACTGGTGGTGGGAACAAATGTGAGGAAGATTATGATGATGATGCCTCCAGTGGAGGTAAAGATGACTGAAATGATGACTACGGGGGTCGCGCTGATCGTATTTTTTTCCTGCCATAATTGTTGCTTTTCGGTCGCACATGTTCAAAACAAGGAGGCACAATTCACTTAAACAGCACACTTGGTGTGTGGAGTGGGATAATACCAGAAGCCATGTCCATGACAATGGGAAGACCCCTGCTGGAGAGACTGTGTCAGTACAAGTAGGAGGTCAAAATAAATAAATAAATGTACCAAAAAAAAAAACAAAAATGAAAGCGTTTTCAGCAGGATATTTCTGAAAATGAATAAAACTTTCTCATGTCACACGCATTAAAAAATAATCACAAATTCACATTAACACATGACAGCAAGAGGCTTGATCCCACTTTTTCCAAACGGAGGCTCACTCATTGGAGACAAATAAAAGCGAGTGACATCCCTAGAAACCTTTCCCATCCGCATGCCTTTATGAGCCCATATGGCAGAGAATAAAAGCTATACCACTGCCACGGTCCAACTACAAAGTCTCCATGGTGTTCACTATTCACTGTGCTAAGGCCCCAGCCTATAGCTTCAACAGGACCAGATGGCTATTTATCTATAGGGCACCCTGAGCAGACATCACATTTACATCCTCTGTGTGTGTGTGTGTGAGTGAGACAGAGAAGGTGACAGAGACTGGTGCGTGAATGTATAGACAAAATCATATATGCTTAAACGACGAAGAAATCCTGCTGGTTAAATGCCAAACTCGGGCTTCGTCACTGGTTGTGTGCACCTTTTCTGATTAGTACAAGCCTCATCCACACCCTTCTTGCTTTCCCTACTTTGTACACATGACGATTCTGGCTCCCATCAGCGTCCCAGATCAAAGCCTCAGCACTGATCTCATCTAGAGCAACACTAACGCTGACAGTGAGGGGACCTGGGGCATTAGCATATTCTATGATGGCGCCCGGCTTTTCAAGCCGTTGCCTCGGCTGCAGCTCTGGGTGTGCCGTGCTGTGGCTTTGCAACTCTAATTTCCCTCTCTCGCTCATTAAAAAAAGCCCACTGTTCTCCTATTAATTCGCAGACACACTGATCTGTTTGAATGGCGAGGATGGGTGTGTGTATGTGTGTGTGTGTGTGTGAGTGTGTGTGGGAGGAGGGAGGTGGAGGAGGGCAATGGCTCAGCGCATTTGCATTTATGTTTAATTTATAACCTTCAGGGGCCCCCTGATGCAGCAAGATTGAAACAATAACTCCAGACAAACACAGGGAAGAGAGGAGGAGGAGCCGGAGGAGGCTGGATGGAATTAAAAATATACAGATCTGGGATGGTATGTGCTTAGAATATGTGTGTTTGAGCATGTGTGGGTAAGGATGCTGTCACTGTCTGTGCGCCATGTGCATGCGTGTGTTTTTTGCGAGTATTCATTTCTGCATCTGCATCAAGGTGCATCTGAAACACACACACATACACCCACACACACACACACACACACTCGCTGACAGAGAGGCAGAGGTCTCCAATCCGCGGGGGAATAACATGCCACGGTGAGTGTCTGTCAGGAGGAGAGCTGGAGCCTGTTCCGGGGGAGTCTGCAGGGATCTCCCCCTTAGCAGCACAGAACAGCACAGCACAGCAGACAGCAGCAGCAGCAGCAGCAGCACAAGCCTGGCCAAGCACAGAAAGTGGGTCAGACCAAAACACACACACACACACACACAGACACACACACACACACAGCTCAGATAGATGCAGCCCTAGTGTCACACTGTGGGTGTGTTTGAAAGAAAGAGGGTGCAGAGAGAGAGAATGCACAGATGATGGTTTGTGTAGATGAGACAGAGCATGGTCGTGTATTTTGCATTAGTGATGTTGAGTTGAAGGGGGGGCGGTTTGTTTAAGATAAGGCGTAGATGGCTAAGGAGTAGAGGGGAGTGGGGGGGGTGTAGCTGAGACAAAAACCCAGCCAGCCATTGTGAACACACCCTATGGAAGTGCATCAAATTGATCCATAGTCTTTTCATTTCAGGCTTGGGTAAATAACAGCATTTGCATTGATCATTCTGCAAAACCAGGCAACGATGGGCTTGAGAGCGTATGGTATGCGTTTGTGTGTGTGTGTGTGTGTGTGTGTGTGCGTGTGTGTTCGTGCGGCTGCTAACAAAACACATCTCTTATTCCTCTCTGCTCCTTGCGGAGTCGAGGGCCTCACCAGAGCCCTACAAACGGCTATGATGGATAAAATGTTTTCAACAACACTTCAGAAGAGTGGATGCTATTGTGTCCGCCTGTATACTGAAACACAGAATCATAGAATTCCCAGGACACCGCATGCTCTATTTATGTGTTATGAAAAACATGACTCAAAAGAAAACGGAAAACAGCTATGCTCTACTTTCACTGTCAGCTATCATGTGAAGTGTGAAGAGGAGGAAGAGGATGAGAGCGCGATGCAGACGGGGAAAGGAGAGTCGAGGAGAGTGATTTTCTTCATCCACAGATCCTATCCTGATGGTGACAGGGGACTGGGCTCTCAGAAACCCTCACACCCCCATACCTCTATCCCCTCCCTTCCTCCCTCCTCTCCCCCCCCTCTGATGCCTGTCACTGCTGCTCTCTCCCTCCCTTCTCCTGACTGGAGGAGTGTGTGAAGTGTCCCCCGAGAGGCACCGACTCAAAGACGGTATTTACAAGATCCACACTGAGCCCACTTTTAACTGCCTGTGAAGAACTTCTCCCGCCGCCTTTGATGTGCCAACCTAATGGGGAAGAGCTCGCCGGCAGTCATTGCATATGTTAGCGAGGCAACGTGAGCTAATCCGCTAGCATTGCAAGGTAGACTTCATGCTGCTTGCAGTAAGTGAACACTTCAAATGCTGTATAGCTTTGGTGCATTGCTGCCCTTGGAAGAAAAAAAAAAAACTCCCCATTGGCAAACAGACGCTGACGCGATGCGTCAACTTTTACAGCAAATTAGTGGCGAGAAGTGGCAGAAGCAAAAGACGGGGGGCACTTTTGCTTATTTCATAGTGGACTTAGCATATTTATGAGCGGAGATAGACGCCCGCCGACGTGAGAATTGATACCACAATTAAAAACTCAATATCAAATCAAATTTTATCTATATAGCGCTTTTCATGTGCAACAACAACAACGCAAAGTGCTTTACAACATTTAAAAACAACAAAGCATTTAAAAACATAGTGTGCTTGGTTGTCTGTCTCTAAGTGTAGCCCTGCGACAGACTGGTTACTGTCCAGGGTGTATCCTGCCTTCACCCTAAGTCGGCTGGGATAGACTCCAGCCCTCCCGCGACCCTAATGAGGATTAAGCGGTGTATAGATAATGGATGGATGGATTTAAAAACATTACAACATTTAAAAACATTACAACATTTAAAAAATAAAGTAAACCCGTCCCTCCCACCCTCCATGCATACACATACAACAAATGCGGTCGCGCACACACACACACACACCACAAGACTAAAAGAGGCATGGCATGGCACTGAGGGACAATAAAACATGCAAAATGTAAAACCGGTAATAATAATATGATTTTACATCCAGATTACAGTACGTACAACAGCAGCTCCTTCTTCACTGGGGTTAGAAAAACATGGTGCAATAAATCAGAGAGCTTCAACAGAATCAAGAGA